AGAAGAAGTACTCCGAGCAGGAAAAGGACAAAGCGAGTACCCAGAATCACATCCCTTCGGCACCAGAGTCCAGTCCCGTGACGTCACAGATCCCGATCGGGAACGACGAGGTTCGTGCAGACGCGAATCAATTACTCGTAAGATGTTAATCGCTCGATCGACGATGGATTCGCCTCAGGCACGCTCAAACGGGGAGCCGGGAGACCTGGACGCATTCATCTCGAACAACCGGATGCAGATCGAGATCTTCGTGAATCGGACGAGAGCAAACGAGTGTCAGGGAAGACACATCGGGAACGACTCCATCGGCCAGACGCTCTTCCTCGACATCACCTCGCTCCATTCCAGGCTCGTTCGAGCCATGGAGGAAGAAGAGAGAAAGCGAAGTGAGTGGTTCGAGTTCCATTTCTGGTCGCGTTCATGGTTTTTATTCGCGTCCGTTTCCCGTCAGATCACTACGAGGGTCTTCAAGACAGACTGAGCCAGATCCGGGACGAGAGAGCGGCGCTTGATGCGCTGAGAGAAGATCACAGGGGGCGGAAGCTTCGAGAGGCGGAGGAAGCGCAGCGTCTCCGGCAGATCCAGATGGCGCAGAAGCTGGAGATCATGCGGAAGAAGAAACAGGAATATCTCGAGGTGCATCGGGTTCCCGATTGGGTTTCGTTCACGAGGAAGATGCCGAGCGATGCACCCTTGCCCGTGTACAGTACCAGCGGCTGATGGCGATGCAGCGGATGCAGGAGCAGGAGCGCGAGATGCAGATGAGACACGAGCAGCAAAAGCAGGCGTACGAAACGGGACAGGCGCAGATGCCCGTCCCCTACGAAACGGGACAATCACAGATGCCCGTTCCATACGAAACGGGACAATCACAGATGCCCGTTCCCTACCCTCTGTCTCACGTCCCATCCGCTTACCCCGTCCCACCCGGTATTCCGTTTGCATCCGTGTCGTTTACGTTTTGTTTTTCTGCACGAGACCGATGCGCGAAGACGAGAGACCTAGCGTACGCGTATCGCAGGATATTCCCAGATTTTCGAGGTAGTCATAAAACAGGAATGAATCAGAGCCGTAAAACCAAGATAGCATTTTAAAAAGATATTCATGCTCGATGATGTGTAATAAACATCTTTCTGAGATGCTTAATTGATGTAATTTTATTTATTGCGTTGTTTACTAGATTTATGTTCCACGTTTCGTAACAAATTAGGATCCTGATTTAAAAAAGAATGCTGACGTAATGTTAACGTTCGTTGTGACTCGAAAAAGGCGACCGACGATTGTTCCAGGATGAACTCTTGATGGCTGCTTTGCTCCAGCTGGATTCGTGGGAGGAATGGCAGTGAGTCGGCCGACCGGAGTCCTTAGGAAGACTTTGGGATATGAAACCGTGGGTCCGCGGCAGCCTTCGGGTCTTGGTCCTGCTCAGCAGCCGGGGATGGTCGGGCCGGTTCTTCGACAGCCTGCGCTGCAGCAGCTAGGTGCTCCGTCGCAGGGCGTGCAGGGTTCGCCGCAGCCGCAGCCGCTGGGTTTCTTGCCTCCTGGCGTCCCTGTTCCGCCGGGACACGCTTCGCCGTATCAGATTTCTCGGTGAGATGAGTTCCCTGGACTTTCGCGGTTGGGGGGTCTCTTTGTGAGGACTGCATGCTCGGAGTTATAGGAACGTTCCCGGCGTTGAATGCATGGCAATATCCAGGCATGCCGATGCAGTCTGTCCCTTCCGTGCCGATGGGTAGCGGTCTCCAATCCCCACAGAATTTCGAGGTGCCTTACGAAAACAAATCCAACGACCAAGTCGGAGAACTCATCTCTTTCGACTGACATGCATGATCGTCTCCTTTCCACCGTGGAGAGCTGTGTCAAACTATTTATGCATTAAAATGAGCCATTTTCCCTTGCCATTTTCGAATGAGATGATTGTTTCATGTATCCAACTTGGGAAAATGACAGATGCAAAGAGCTTCTAGGTATTCGTCTTGCAATCCTTCATTTTTTGCACGTTGGATGATCATGAACATCTAACAGATTATTCCTGTCAGAGTTCAGACTCTGTATACCACTAACACTGCATGGGCAGTGGAATGCCACGAATCAGACTAGGAGCAGCGGTGCATTCAGGGGTGGACCGAGGGGACTTCGGCTCCTCCTGGCTCGTCAGATATAAAAACTTCATCTTCTGTTCTCTATGCCAGTGAAAGGAAAACTCAAGCTGCCCAAAAAAATAGCATCTCAAGGACATAAAAAGGTTGTATTGTGTTTTTTCCAAAACGCAGGTGAGATATCCTCAACAAAAACGCGAAACGGCGCGAACAAAGAAAATAAAAGAAAAATGTTATGAAATGGTGGAAACGGAATTTGAACTGTAGATGATGAAAGCACATTCGATATCTGAAGAAAGCTTAAAATTAACTAAATTAATTTCGTGATTCAGCCCACATATCACCGTGGAAATGTGCAACTGGATATTCATTAGCCCGTACGATTCACGCATTTTATTTGAATCGTCGTCCTTCCGATTTCAGAAAAAATTCAATAGCGTCACATGTGCAGGACGTTTCCTTGACAGTTTCACTTTACTATTAGGTTGTTGCAAAAGTCCTGTCGGTGTTGAATGTAACATG